ACGTTTAGCCTATAGCCAGATATATCCGCCACACGTTTAGCCTATAGCCATATATATCCGCCACACGTTTAGCCTATAGCCAGATATATCCGCCACACGTTTAGCCTATAGCGAGATATATCCGCCACACCTTTAGCCTACTAGCCAGATATATCCGCCACATGTTTAGCCCATAGCCAGATATATCCGCCACACGTTTAGCCTATAGCCAGATATATCCGCCACACGTTTAGCCTATAGCCATATATATCCGCCACACGTTTAGCCTATAGCCAGATATATCCGCCACACGTTTAGCCTACAAGCCAGATATATCCGCCACACGTTTAGCCTATAGCCAGATATATCCGCCACACGTTTATCCTACTAGCCAGATATATCTGCCACACGTTTAGCCTACTAGCCAGATATATCCGCCACATGTTTAGCCTACTAGCCAGATATATCCGCCACACGTTTAGCCTTTAGCCATATATATCCGCCACACGTTTAGCCTTTAGCCATATATATCCGCCACACGTTTAGCCTACTAGCCATATATATCTGCCACACGTTTAGCCTATAGCGAGATATATCCGCCACACCTTTAGCCTACTAGCCAGATATATCCGCCACACGTTTAGCCCATAGCCAGATATATCCGCCACACGTTTAGCCTATAGCCATATATATCCGCCACACGTTTAGCCTATAGCCATATATATCCGCCACACGTTTAGCCTATAGCGAGATATATCCGCCACACGTTTAGCCTATAACCCAGATATATCCGCCACACGTTTAGCCTACTAACCAGATATATCCGCCACACGTTTAGCCTACTAGCCAGATATATCCGCCACATGTTTAGCCCATAGCCAGATATATCCGCCACACGTTTAGCCTATAGCCAGATATATCCGCTACACGTTTAGCCTATAGCCATATATATCCGCCACACGTTTAGCCTATAGCCAGATATATCCGCCACACGTTTAGCCTACAAGCCAGATATATCCGCCACACGTTTAGCCTATAGCCAGATATATCCGCCACACGTTTATATATCCGCCACACGTTAAATTTAGCCTACTAGCCAGATATATCCGCCACATTTTAGCCTACTAGCCAGATATATCCGCCACACGTTTAGCCTACTAGCCATATATATCCGCCACACGTTTAGCCTATAGCCATATATATCCGCCACACGTTTAGCCTAGCTAGCCATCCGCCATATATTTAGCCACTAGCCAGATATAGCCAATAGCGAGATATATCCGCCACACCTTTAGCCTACTAGCCAGATATATCCGCCACACGTTTAGCCTATAGCCAGATATATCCGCCACACGTTTAGCCTATAGCCATATATATCCGCCACACGTTTAGCCTATAGCCATATATATCCGCCACACGTTTAGCCTATAGCGAGATATACACGTTTAGCCTGTAACCCAGATATATCCGCCCCACGTTTAGCCTATAACCAGATATATCCGCCACACGTTTAGCCTACTAGCCAGATATATCCGCCACACGTTTAGCCTTTAGCCATATATATCCGCCACACGTTTAGCCTTTAGCCATATATATCCGCCACACGTTTAGCCTTTAGCCATATATATCCGCCACACGTTTAGCCTACTAGCCATATATATCCGCCACACGTTTAGCCTTTAGCCATATATATCCGCCACACGTTTAGCCTACTAGCCATATATATCCGCCACACGTTTAGCCTATAGCGAGATATATCCGCCACACGTTTAGCCTACTAGCCAGATATATCCGCCACACGTTTAGCCCATAGCCAGATATATCCGCCACACGTTTAGCCTATAGCCATATATATCCGCCACACGTTTAGCCTATAGCCATATATATCCGCCACACGTTTAGCCTATAGCGAGATATATCCGCCACACGTTTAGCCTGTAACCCAGATATATCCGCCCCACGTTTAGCCTACTAACCAGATATATCCGCCACACGTTTAGCCTACTAGCCAGATATATCCGCCACACGTTTAGCCTTTAGCCATATATATCCGCCACACGTTTAGCCTTTAGCCATATATATCCGCCACACGTTTAGCCTTTAGCCATATATATCCGCCACACGTTTAGCCTACTAGCCATATATATCCGCCACACGTTTAGCCTATAGCCATATATATCCGCCACACCTTTAGCCTACTAGCCAGATATATCCGCCACACGTTTAGCCCATAGCCAGATATATCCGCCACACGTTTAGCCTATAGCCATATATATCCGCCACACGTTTAGCCTATAGCCATATATATCCGCCACACGTTTAGCCTATAGCGAGATATATCCGCCACACGTTTAGCCTATAACCCAGATATATCCGCCCCACGTTTAGCCTACTAACCAGATATATCCGCCACACGTTTAGCCTACTAGCCAGATATATCCGCCACACGTTTAGCCTTTAGCCATATATATCCGCCACACGTTTAGCCTACTAGCCAGATATATCCGCCCCACGTTTAGCCCATAGCCAGATATATCCGCCACACGTTTAGCCTATAGCCATATATATCCGCCACACGTTTAGCCTATAGCGAGATATATCCGCCACACCTTTAGCCTACTAGCCAGATATATCCGCCACATGTTTAGCCCATAGCCAGATATATCCGCCACACGTTTAGCCTATAGCCAGATATATCCGCCACACGTTTAGCCTATAGCCATATATATCCGCCACACGTTTAGCCTATAGCCAGATATATCCGCCACACGTTTAGCCTACAAGCCAGATATATCCGCCACACGTTTAGCCTATAGCCAGATATATCCGCCACACGTTTATCCTACTAGCAAGATATATCTGCCACACGTTTATCCTACTAGCCAGATATATCCGCCACATGTTTAGCCTACTAGCCATATATATCCGCCACACGTTTAGCCTTTAGCCATATATATCCGCCACACGTTTAGCCTACTAGCCATATATATCCGCCACACGTTTAGCCTATAGCGAGATATATCCGCCACACCTTTAGCCTACTAGCCAGATATATCCGCCACACGTTTAGCCCATAGCCAGATATATCCGCCACACGTTTAGCCTATAGCCATATATATCCGCCACACGTTTAGCCTATAGCCATATATATCCGCCACACGTTTAGCCTATAGCGAGATATATCCGCCACACGTTTAGCCTGTAACCCAGATATATCCGCCCCACGTTTAGCCTACTAACCAGATATATCCGCCACACGTTTAGCCTACTAGCCAGATATATCCGCCACACGTTTAGCCTTTAGCCATATATATCCGCCACACGTTAAGCCTACTAGCCAGATATATCCGCCCCACGTTTAGCCCATAGCCAGATATATCCGCCACACGTTTAGCCTATAACCCAGATATATCCGCCCCACGTTTAGCCTACTAACCAGATATATCCGCCACACGTTTAGCCTACTAGCCAGATATATCCGCTACACGTTTAGCCTATAGCCATATATATCCGCCACACGTTTAGCCTACTAGCCAGATATATCCGCCCCACGTTTAGCCTATAGCCATATATATCCGCCACACGTTTAGCCTATAGCCAGATATATCCGCCACACGTTTAGCCTATAACCCAGATATATCCGCCCCACGTTTAGCCTACTAACGAGATATATCCGCCACACGTTTAGCCTACTAGCCAGATATATCCGCCACACGTTTAGCCTATAGCCATATATATCCGCCAGACGTTTAGCCTACTAGCCAGATATATCCGCCCCACGTTTAGCCTACTAACCAGATATATCCAATGAATACGAAACATAACAATACTGTTCTACCACTCGTGCTAAAATGTACACAGGAGAAAATGTTTGGTGAATATACGCGTCGAGTGCATGTAGGTACATGAATGTTAGTCTATCTCACAGTCCCTGAACCACATTATTTTCCCTACTGCCTAGCCCTCCCTGCAATGTAGTCTATCTCACAGTCCCTGAACCACATTATTTTCCCTACAGCCTAGCCCTCCCTGCAATGTAGTCTATCTCACAGTCCCTGAACCACATTATTTTCCCTACTGCCTAGCCCTCCCTGCAATGTAGTCTGTCTCACAGACCCTGAACCACATTATTTTCCCTTCTGCCAAGCCCTCCCTGCAGTGTTTAAGCCCTAAATAAAGCAAGACTAGATTTCCTCTGAATTTCTGGTCTCCCTGGGGCTCCTTTTCAATTTAAATGGGCTTGTTTTTTACTATCAAAATTATATATATATATTCAGAGACTAAGCATTAGTCTACATGAATGTATGTAGGTGAATGCATGCAGGTGAATATGTGCAGGTGAATTTATGTAGGTGAAAGTGTGTAGGCGAATGTACGCGGTGAATGCATGTAAGTAGGTAATGTAAGTAGGTAAATGAATGCAAGCATGTGAATGTGTGTAGGTGATAGCATGCATGTGAATGTGTGTAAGCGAATGTATGCATGTGAATCTATAAAGGTATGTAGGCGACTATGTGCTGGTGAATGTGTGTAGGTGGATGCATGCAGATGCAGGTATGCATGTGAATGTGTGAAGGCGATTGTATGCAGGTGAATGCACGTATGTGAAAGTATGCTGTAGGTGAAGGTGTGTACGTGAATGTGTAGGTGAATGCATAGAGGTGAATGCACGCAGTTGAATGTATGTTGTAGGTGAATGTGTGCATGTGATCTAATGCAGCTGATGTGTATGTAGGTGGATACACGTATCTTTGTGAACCAAAGCTTGTGTTTGATGGACCTACATCAGCCTACATCTGGGTTGGTGTGTACATGTACTCTGCAGGATATGAAGAAATGGACGTGTAGTCTTATGGACACATGAACTTATGGACTAATCTGAACCGGTAAACTATCAGACTTATTAACAATAAGCTGAACATTGACTAATGGACACATGAACAAACTTGAACATGGACGAATGAACTGATGAACTAATGGTCTATTAGGCTGATGGACTAATGGTTGACTTGTTTCCCCAGGCACAGCGGCAGATTCAGAGGAAGAAGTACACCAAAAAGCACATATTCTCCAACGAGAAGATACAAGGTAGGTTGGTGACGTTGTAAGTGTCCGTTATGTGGTACCTGTACATCGTGTTATGACGAACCACTACGAAGCATTAACACACACTCGCTTCTTCAAGATGACTTCGTAGAGAACGGTTTCCCCGTGAACCATTTCAAAGAAATGAAGAAGATGGTAACTTAGGAATATTACGCCAACATTACGGCGAGAAACACAACTGGAGATTTTATTTACTGTCCCCATGCAAGGATCCGGCGTCTCCGCTGGGACCAGTCTCCGCGCTGCATCAAAGACATCAAGTATTTCAAAGACAGCAAGAGCGTCCGTCGGGAGCGAGGTCTGTCTGCGGCTGTGTATTACTAAAACGCCTCAAAAGATAGTATTTTGTTGTTATCCCTGCCCTAGATAAAAAACTCACTCACTCACTCACACCTTCCATGTCACTATTGAGCGGATCATGGACTTGGTTCATGGCTTGTCATCGTATGATTGCTGATACGACCTACTGGATTGTCAGATCCAGGGCGTATTATTTATAGGCATATAGCAGCCTATACTCACTTACCATCCAATGCATATTTGTGTAATGCTTTCGTATTGTCTTTGTTCCTTAATCATCATATCATAGACTGAGTATCGTTCAGTTCATCCTCAGGGTAAATCTATTAATGAAAAGGAAAATTATCTACACTGAGATAAAATTCCCGAGGGTTCACGAACACATGTCATAACTCATTTGACGATTTCCTTGTATGGTACTACTCATTTATCAATAGGTATTATATGGGTATTTATATAGCGCTTAAGTCCATCCTATCTACATGCACGATCAAAGCGCTTTGCTTTTCCCTTAAAGTCAATCTCAACGGCAAATCGTATTTTCAATCTCAACTCCCTGGGGAACATACAACTCCTGCAGCCACGAGGCGCACCGTGTTAGTGTGGCTTTCCCATGCTTACGAGGTACCCATTCACAGCTGGGTGGACTGGGACACATAGTCACAGTGTTGTGTCCCAGTTTTACTGCGCGTTGCTGTACCCGCAACTATAGTTTGGCATGAAATGCATGTGGACCCGGGTTTTTGTAAATATCTCGTCATCCAATGACCCATTCGATCTCAAACTGTGCAAGTGGATGTTTTGTCAGACAACCTAATCACATTGTAAATCACCGATTTTATGCATTTGTATTAAAGAATCTGTCTATGTAACTGTCAACAAAATAAACAGCAGAACGCAGACGGCTTGCCAAACTATAGGTGTTTGCACGTATTCATGTGGCCACCATCTGGCCATATACCAACGTATTCATGGGTTTTTTTAAGTGCACAGGGTTGTGTACTGTACACTAGGGGTTGTGACAACAATGGAAGAGTCTGCACACAGAGTTGACTCCAAGGTTTTTATACCCGGTCACAGGTGGGCTCGATCCCGACACCCCAAACTCGCTGGATCACTAGCCTGGCGTCTTAGCCAGGTATACGATACATATAAGTGAAACACCACAGAATGCTGTTGACATGACAGCGAGCTTGCTTCAGAACTCGATGTCACGTTAATCGTCCAACAAATTTTATGGATGGTAACACATACATTCCTCACACGCACTCACATGCACGCACGAACGCACATCTCTTCCTTCTTCACGTTAGCAATAACGGGCAGTGTGTTATCATTGCCTTAACGCTTGCTTTCACCTAATTCCAGACATTCACTGCATGAAGACTCGCATTATGCTTGCGGTTCATCGATGCAGTGTAGTGTTTGAGTGACTTAGGTAATTACATTAACTGTTGTTAATACATGATTTCTCTAACAGACTACAGGCAGGTCAGGCTCCGCCGTGGGTCACAGAGTTAACGCTAGGTCAGGGGTCAGGGCTTGTTAACACGTGAGACTTGGAGAGAATCGGTGTGATTTTAGCTTAAAAACCCGAGTTGAACATGGCATCATATTGCCGCTTTAATCTTCCTCTTCCTGGTTCCTACCTCGTCTGTTGTGTTTGACCCACATTCCAGCTTCTGATGTGGGAACTGTATCCATGGATGCGTTGAAGGAGGTTGCCGCCGCCGTGGAATGTTGTTCATGTTGCAAACCTGCGCTGATGGCTACAGTTTCTAAACACTATCCTATCACTACCGGATATCTTCTCAGTTTCACAATTCACATATCTATCAGACCGTTTTAAGTTTCAAACAGGTAATAGAAAATACATTTTGCAAGTGAGCCGTGAGTTATTCATAAACATTCACTTTCTCATTAGCTAACGTTTCGTGGTTCTCAAGCTTACCTTAGATTATTATCTGCCGCCGGGTTGGCGAATCTTTGGAAGATGCATAGCACCCTGTTACACCAGAGATTCTACTGTACATGTTCAACTATTAACGATGTAAACTCTACATCACTGACCAAACAAAGAAGTATGCTTTTTTATGCATACTATTGAAAATATTCTACCTAACTATATTCCCTCACATAATGACCGTGTCAGTAGAACCACCACCGACTGTCTGCAATGACGATACGTTAAAGAAAATAAATATACACAATAATAATATGTGTGTATGTGCGTGCGTGGATATGTGTGTGTGTGTGTTTGCATGGATATGTATGTGCGTGGATGTGTGTGCGTGCGTGGATGTGTGTGTGTGTGTGTGTGTGTGCGTGTGTGTGTGTGTGTGTGTGTGTGTGTGTGTGTGTGTGTGTGTGTGTGTGTGTGTGTGTGTGTGTGTGTGTGAAAATATATATGTCTTGTCATTTGAATACTGTATCTGTTCCATGATAGAATACTTGAGAACTGAATGGTCTAAATATGAAGACTAGCGGAAGATACTTACCTATCATGTAATTAGCATTCTCGCATGTTGTAATAGATATCTGTGCCAGTAGCATTTTCCCCAGGTTTTTAACATCTTGGATTAATTCCCAGATTATTGCATCACATCTAATAAATAATGATATATTTCATAATCAGTCGTTAACATTGTGAACAGGTGGGGGAAATAATTCAAGTACGGAACAGCAACATCCCAGACGCTCAACAAACAACTGATGTTGGCACTAGTTACGTAGTCAGCCACTTCTCTGACGCTGCAGTTCGTTGTGAGTAGTTGTCGCCCTTGGATTAGCCAGGATCCTATCATCGTACGCTGAAGTCCTCAGTCTCGCTGGTTGTGATCCTTAGTTAATCGGCACCGAACTAGCACTCCCGGATTGGTTGTTGTTACTAACACGTGATGATCGGTTGAAGAGCGCTTCCGGAGTCCGTGATTTCGCACTTGTCTCGTGGTTTTCTTCTTCACTCATTTGTCACTCAATGATGTAACAGACTGCTGTTGAGCACCACACCCCACTCCCTGCTCTGTAGATACATGTCCCTGTGTAAACCTTGTAAACACGCCAAACGAGCATCAACGTCTGTAACCACTTCCAGCTGTCGGAAATAGCGAGAAGCCTGGCAGAATTAAATTAACTTTAATCTAAACATATCTATTTTCTATTCTGTGTTTGGTAAAGGGGGATAAACAAACCAAAATATCTCTAGGACTGCGTATAGCTGATTGCTGACACGGGCTCCGCCAAGTGCAGCTGCTTAAAGTGCTGCTGGAGATTCAGACGTTTTGTCTAAAACGGTAGGCGTCACTGTGAAGGAGTATACACTTCTCCAAGGTCGAGGCTGTAGGCGTCACTGTGAAGGAGGATACACTTCTCAAGGTCGGGCGGTCACTTCCAAGGTCGAGGCGGTAGGCGTCACTGTGAAGGAGGATACACTTCTCCAAGGTCGAGGCGGTAGGCGTCACACGTGAAGGAGGATACACTTCTCCAAGGTCGAGGCGGTAGGCGTCACTGTGAAGGAGGCGTCACTTCACTTCCCAAGGTCGAGGCGTCAGTGAAGGAGGATACACTTCCAAGGTCGAGGCGGTATCACTGTGAAGGATACACTTCTCCAAGGTCGAGGCGGTAGGCGTCACTGTGAAGGAGTATACACTTCTCCAAGGTCGAGGCTGGTGTCGCTGTACTTCTCCAAGGTCGAGGCTGTAGGCGTCACTGTGAAGGAGTATACACTTCCGGGCACGCAACGGTGTATATTTACTCGCGATAGACAATAGGTTACTGGTGTCGGTACTGTGCACACACACATTCACACGCAACGGTACTCTCGCGATTGCCTTGGTATTGATCGTGGCCTCAGGTTACATACAAGGAAGCTTATATTACATGATTGCTTCAAAATATACTGTAGAACAGTGATGTGAATACGTCGCATTCACGATGGTGTGTGTGTGTGTGTGTGTGTGTGTGTGTGTGTGTGTGTGTGTGTGTGTGTGTGTGTTACTGTGTGTTTGTGTAACACTCACTATGCTAGTGCTAAAATCTCTACGTACTACTGACCATCATGACTTACATCAGTATTAATGAATAAACGCAAACGAGGACAACTTGGCAACAGCACATTATATAAGAGACGGCATCATCATGTAAACGTCATCTCATGCAACATGTGGTGTTGTGTCAGTTGTTGTGGTGTTGTGTCAGCTGTCAGTTGTCAGTGCAGTCTATATCGGGGTATGTCAACCACTAGCAACGCTGTAAGGTTGACAACGGCGCCACATTGACAGCACAAGATGGTTGAGGTAGGCTTGGGGGAAGTCTAGCAGGATCTGGACCAACACCTGTCGCAGCTTGACCAACGTCATGGTGGACGTGTGGAAGTGGACGAATGTTTCCTTCATCTCAAACATGGTCGATGGGCGAGGGCAGTGCAGGGAGGTTCTGTTGTCCGTTGAGGTCTGACCAAACGGGGAATGTCATCACGTGCATTGTCCTGTTGTAAAGTGACGTGACGTCGATCAGTCTGGCTGAACGGCGAGGAGGCTAACACGGACAACTATGTAATATGGTACCTAACCTCTATGTACCAGTCGATGACCTAGAACAATACTGTGATCTGCGGCGATGCCCCCATTACGTCTCCAGCATCAACTGCAGACGGGTAACGCTCCTCCTGACGTCAAGAATCACGCCGCCAACCATCACAACTGCGAAGACGATCATCAGATGTGCCTTGACCATGCATGGCGTGCAGTTCGATGACAAATGGGACGTAGAGCTGGACGTCATGGCCGGATGTTATTGCCTCGATACTGATTCCAGACAGTCCTTGCACTGATGTGATGTAAGGTACAGATACTGAACCTGTTAATGCAGTGGTCGGAAACGGGTTTCGCAGGTGAAGCGAGAGATGGTTCTCTTACTCGTGGACGTGCACAACGTCATTGGTTTCCAGAACTGCCATTCTTGGCGAAGTTTATGAATAACAACTTGTTTCTGTCATTCCTGTTTGACAACGGTACAAGAATCCATATCGAAACGTCGCACTCTCGTAATAAAGAAGTTGTTATCCATATAGCTTGTCTATTTTGTACTTCCCAGCTTCTAAAATGCCACTCAAAGAAGAAATTGCCATTCTGTTGGTACCCACCTCGGGGTGACTGCATGTATGGTGCCTAGCAACGTTTTGTACAAATCCGGTTTCCAGTTTACACAAATGCTCATTTTAAGATATGTGTGGCTGCCAATAACTTTGCTTTACAGAGTAAGATCACTTCCCCAGTCTACTTTTTGAAATGTCTCTCCTGCGCTGTGAATGTGTGACAATGTATTACAGCATGTGTTATGTTACTGTCATTGTTGGAATAACTACAATGTGTTTGTAACTGCAATAGCATGCATGGTGCTAAAACATCAATGGCAATTGTATTTACGGTACAAAGGAGTTGGGGATTTTTGTATGCCTAATCTTCACGTGTGAGAGAATCCGTAAAACGAATTCTTTCCTGATGTAGATGTACGTGACTTTTGTTTCAGAGTTGAACGACACATTCAAGATGTTCGACAAGAATGGAGACGGCATGATCACGACAGACGAGCTCGGCAGTGTCATGATCTCCCTGGGCCAGAGACCCACGATCCAGGAGATCCGTGGCTTTATCCGGGCCGTGGACACCGACAGTGAGGACTCACATCTTTCTTCCTTCTTTTGTTTGTTGTTTAACGCCGCACTCGGCAATATCCCGGTATCCGGTATCCGGTATCCATCAAGCAGTATCTCACGACCAGCAGAGACTGCTGGGTCCTATAACTTGATTAATAACCAACTTAAGTTTCAGGGAACCAGTGACGTAACCGAAGTGAATGTAAAACTTCAGGCAGTGGTCGTGTTAAAGTTAAAACGACAATCACTACTTGACAAATAATGACAAGTTAATGTTCTTCGTTTGATCTACTTTGAAGGTTGCATTTTATCACTGAAATTAGCAAGACTCGCCTTGAAAAAAACAAAAGAAAACTTTTTGACTGCGATTGATTGTCCAGAACCCGGGTACACAAGCCACACACCCAACAGGACTTAGCCTCTTCCTCGAATATCACAATGCATGCACAACGGCTTGAGCAACAGCTTCCTCTGATTTCGTGTGAAGCTGATCAAATCTTTGTTTCCGGTATGAATGAACATAGACAAATGTATTGATAGACAAATGTATTGATAGACAAATGTATTGATAGACAAATGTATTGATAGACAAATGAATTGATAGACAAATGTATTGATAGACAAATGGATGCCTTTATAGTACTACGGCTATTAGACCTCACTCATAAGACGTAGAAGGTACCATTTGTGTAACAGAGCTTTCCTGTTAGCGTTAACAGACATGCCGATTGGCAGGAAATCATTTGAAGAAACGTAACTCCATATCAAAACTGGGATGTGTTAATCTATTTTGAATAAAACTTTTATAAACACGAGCGCAGATCAGCTCGGTTTTATTGTTAGATTATTAGTTACCACTCTTCTAGATTAGTCATTGCACGACTTTCCAGCTCACATTCATGAACATATAATTTCGTTCAAAGTTTAGAAGTTTGAGAAGATTATTACTAGGCCTGTCAGACTTCCATCAACAGTTCTACTCATGTCACCGTGTCACGTGACATCAAGCATATGGTATTACACCTCTAATCAAATGAGTTAAAATAACTTCTTTGATGGCTGAATATATTTCAGGAATATATTTTTCGATAACATTTCGTTTCGCAGGAAGTGGGTCTATAGATTTTGACGAGTTTCTGGACATCTTTGCACGGAAGGTGACAATGGACCCCGAGAAAGAACTCCGTGAAGTGTTCCGAGTGTTTGACAAGGATAAAGATGGATTTATCTCCCCTACCGACCTGTTCGAGATACTCTCTAAATTAGGAGAAAAAATAAGTAGGGTAAGTGGCCTTGACAGTGTTAGCCGCAGGGAGATGGAAACCGACAGGGGCAGTCCCTGTTGGGTTACTGTGTTTTTACCAACCCAATGTCTCTACTGGAATGGTCAAGACGAAATATTGTAGGTTTAGCAAACAATGGAGTTTTGCAGGTTTATTTCTACCCGGGTCCCCAAGGCGTTTCAGCGTTACGTGAGATGACATTCATGTTTACAACTTTAGAATTGAACATTTCCTTATCACCTACAGCAAATAACATAAGCCTGCACTCTCAAATTTTGATTTGATGGAATATATAGACAGTGAAATGAGGTTGGGAGAGAGAAGGAAAATAAGGTTAACTGTAGCTTGGGGGGCAAGTGACGCAAAATTGATCTCCGCAGTAGTTAATAAAAAATGGGATTTATTGATTTGTATCGACATTTTACATCATTATTTTAAGTAGATTTTCTGCCCAAATCAAATCAAATCGAAGACTTTACGCATCGAATGATACTGTCTAAACTAAATCTTGAATCACCATCCTATTACCTAAGCTACATAGCGTTCACTGACATGAACCTATTGAACGCTATGGATCTTAGCTACCATCTTATACAAAATACTGGCATGGTTTGAATCACCCTCTGACTTTATCGTCAGCTGAAACGTTCAAATGAGAATATGTGCAGTGTTCTGGCATAAAGTTGAAATAGTTGATGGTATGTTGGTATGTGTAAGGCGATGACAGGAGACTATGTTTTACAATACAAGGGAGATAACTCTAGAGGGATTGCGTCTTCCCTGTGTCCAACGGAGGAAACGTGTCATTGATTTTATGGACGATTCAATGAATGTTGTCGCAATTTGACTTTCGTGACAATCCTTGTCGTTAGGGAATAAACCAAACAGCGCCTCGTGAACTGGAGATATTATCAACTGGATTCCATCTTAACAAGAACAAGCTATTTTGACTGCCATTTTGGCCAAAATTAAAATGCAAAATATCACTGTAAACAAAAGTTACAGCGATGTTTTTGTGATCAGATATAGAGATGTACGGGAATTCAGTTTGCTTTGCAGTTTTCTCACGTTGGTCGTGTGAGTGAGTGAGTGAGTTGATTCACTGGCGAAACGTTCATGGATAGGGAGACGAATCGTACTGCAGGTTAATGAGAGTGCAAGCGGTGACAAACCCTTTTGACAGCACATGTTCTAAACATAAAGCTGTCTAAGCTCATGTTGCTTAAGAGTGAGAGAAGTAAGACTTATTTTAAATATTTTTGATGCGGGAGGGACACTTTTTATTTTCTACACACTGAACCGGGCGCCATTGAACTCGGCTCTTTGAAACAATATCAGTTGTTACGCATGAATAAAAGTGCCCGCTCAAATGAATGTACAGTGGAATCTGTCAAATCCGGACTCTTTGTAAACTGGTTTTCTCCATAATCCTGACTACTCTCTGAGTCCCATCAAAATTGTTCTTAATTTATCATTAAAGCGTACTTTATAATCCAGACTCTTTCAATTATGGATGACGGACTAAAATAAGTCCCGACAATCAACTTCCTATGAGAACAATGCTTTGTAATGTATTTCACAATAATATTGACTGACGCTGTGGACTTAAGTAACACGTTGATAAGCTATGACTGTATTCACAGAGAGAAGCGGAGGAGATGGTGAGGGAGGCTGACCTGAACAAGGACGGAAAGGTAGACTACTCTGGTGAGTTAATCAACGCAGCAGTAGATGAATGAGTGACGTTATCGCCGCTTTGAACAGCATTCCTGTTACATTCCGGCCTTCCAGTTGCATGGGGGAGGAAAATCCGAAGTCCTGAACGTCTCAGATATTTATTATTTTAATTAAAAAAAACGAACATGACACTGGCGTGGTTAAGGTAGATCTAGGATTCGAACACAGGGCCATAGGATCCGGGCACACGTCTGTCCAGTGACTTTATGCCTGTAGACTAATGGGCCACCTCACCCCCAGAATGTGTCTGACGTGTATTTTCTGGGATTGCTGTATAGAGACAATACTGGGTGATAAGTAACCTTCCTTTCCGGGGAAGAACAGAAGCCCAGTATCCTATTTCTGTCGCACAGCTCTACCAGCATATTTAGGAGGTAGGGTTGCTAGTGTTGTGACCTTGTTGAACGTGAATCACCCTATCATGACAACATAGATCGTTATTCGTGATGTCAACCCGGGTCTGTCGCTGTATACCTGGTGTTATATGACCACCGGGTGAGGAGCAGCCACTATCATCATCTACTTGCTTATATATTGATATGTTCCCAAACTACCCTACTCGATAGGACAGCTTTAATATACTGGTCACCCTGGTGGATTTGGGTATGCTTCATATTCTTCCACTGTGGTCGAGTGGATACAGCCCCTGACCGAAAACGGTAGACCGGTAGTTCGATCCCAGGCTCGCCATACAAAGACGTTAAAAGATGGTTTTGTTGTTACTTTGCTTGACACTCGGTAATATGGGGTTAAAAAAGGAATATTTTGTGTGTAACTAGTGCTTAGGTCTTTCTTCTGGCCAGGAAAACTGTGGCATTGCCATAAGAGGTAATGGGGTTGCACCGTCGGAGTGTATAACTGCAATAATCCTGAACGCGACCTTAAAGGTCACATGCAACGTAAAACACAACTTTGCAGATTCTGATACCTTTCGGTATGGACTTACAGATACAAATCATCAAAAATGCAAATTTCAACCTTTAAAGTTGAAAAATAACGCCATGAAAAAAACCCCGCGAAATCGGAGTTCAAACGATTCACTAAATTCACCCCAGCGCTTGGTGTGAAAAGTGGTTTCAACAGCTGTGCTGGGCTGCGCTGGGCTGCGCTCATAGCGCATGCGCAGTGAAATAGGTTCGCGCAGCTTGGAAGCGGGATGTCTGGATTATAAGGTCGTGAGCAGGAGTAGTCTAATCAAAACAAATAGTAAATAATCTACTCATTACATAAAAGAACCTTGTTAGGATCTAGATCTACTCAGCTATGTGTCAACCAGTGAGGCGTTCGACATTTCAAGACGGAAAACCTTCGCTGGCGGTGAATACTCGGTGAAGGCTTTGATGTGAGCTATTTTTCTAATGTTTTGTTGATATTTCACAGGCGCGAGCTTTTTATATGTTATGACAGTAGATTACCGATTTAACTGTTTATATAATTTCATTTGTCTATTTCACCACACGTTCTTCTTACCGAGTCACTTTCTCAGTTCGATACTTAAAAGAAATGTCATTATTTAGCATTGACAGAATTTCTAACTGTGATATGTCGTTGTCACAGACAAAACTCAATGTCTGTTTTATTGACACCTATGTGTCTGCCTGCCTGTCTGCTAATGACAATATTCAATACACAACTTCGATCACTGACCACATGCAATTTGAACTTAACACCTCTCAGGGTATACACCATAAACAAAACGCATTGATTTATGGCCCGAGTTCGGTCTCTGTCCCATTATGTAATTACACAGACAGGCAGGTGTGATACTTGTACACATGACATGTTATGATGTCTGTTGATTGCAAAATGTTATACATAAAAAATGAGCATGTATTTACAAAACCCAACATCTATATATACACACACACAATGAGCCGTGCGGGCATCGGCAATTGAACCAGCCAATAAAAGTCTTCGTTACACTTGAGTGCACACCCACCCGTTCTTGACTGGGTTCGGTATCCCGGGTGCTTCGTTTCGAGGGAAGTAAACCCAAGTACAAAATATTGCACTTTTGATTTGCGATTGTACGCTTATAATTTTGTTCATATGTTTTTTCATAATCAGCAATGTATATTATATGTCATGAATAAGTGATAATTGTGTTTTAATCATGTTTGATTTTTTTAGTTGCATGTGACCTTTAAACCCGATTTACCCCGCCCGCCTTTCTATCTGTAGTCTTGCGTGATTAATCGGATGCTTAAGCGGGCAGACTATTATAGTCTTCATCACAGGACAACCATTCATACATGACTTGCCTTCTTTTTCAGAGTTCAAAGCTATACTAACGTCTCGATGAACTGGACGTGGAGAGATACGTGCACCTCGCCGACACAGACGGTCCTTACAAAGATGACCGTGTAATGCGTAGTCAACAGGGTGCGTTTACAGAGGGGCTGTTTGTCAACAGGGTGCGTTTACAGAGGGGCTACTTGTCAACAGGGTGCGTTTACAGCGGGGCTGCTTGTCAACAATGTGCGTTTACAGAGGGGCTACTTGTCAACAATGTGCATTTATAGATGGGCTGCTACAACAATGTGCAATTACGGACGTGTTTCTTGTCTACAATGTGCATTTATAGATGGGCTGCTACAACAATGTGCATTACAGACGTGTTTCTTGTCAACAATGTGCAATTACGGACGTGTTTCCTGTCAACAATGTGCATTTATAGATGGGCTGCTACAACAATGTGCATTACAGACGTGTTTCTTGTCAACAATGTGCAATTACGGACGTGTTTCCTGTCAACAATGTGCATTTATAGACGGGCTGCTACAACAATGTGCATTACAGACGTGTTTCTTGTCAACAATGTGCAATTACAGACGCGTTTATGGATGGGTTTTTTTAAAAGCGGGGCCTTGTTATTGCGAAAACTTCCTCCCTCGCGCTGTTCCATGTCGGGCGCCAGTGTTCCATCGACGACGGCAACGCTTCTGCTGGGCCTAAAGACTTGCCAAGTAAAAGATAATATGGGTCCAACAAAAATAACACAAAGCGTTCAGATTGTCTATACATGTTTTATATACTCAAGGGAGAAAGTGACTGTGATCATATGCATTTTGTTGGACAATACTAAACTAAAGGGCAGAGGAATGTTTACACTTGCATCTTGCTTTAGCGTTTAGAAAACGTTACTAGGCTAAAAAATGCCACCGAACTTTAGGTCCAAATTCAAGATACCTGCATGAAAACATACATAGGTGTGTACTTCACTTACTCGACAGTTTGTAATAATTGTGAAGTATTAACACTATTAGAAGGCCATTTGGGTCCAGCTTCAGCCTAACTTTACATGGGCAGGGAAAGAGTGAGGTTTTGTGTAATGGTCATGTAACATACAACCGAAACCTGACAATGAGGGCCACAATAGATCTAGGCGTATTCTGACATACTTGCCGCCGGTGTTATGGTGTTGGAATAGAAAATATGTATAATTAAACAAAAAGGTATGTTGCTCATGTAATTTAAACCAGGAACGAGTCCTATAATTTACCAAATTAAATGTGCCAGTCTGGAACGAGTGTGTTTTGCATGTGATATCAGCTGCAGAGTATTCGTGTCCCATGATCAGCAGCAGGCCCAGTTCCATGCTGTCAGGTTCTAACAATATCCCACAGTAGTGTTAGTTCTTTATTCAGTAGTGGTGACCAAATATTCAACCATATCCGAGATTGTCTGATATATGTTATTGTGCAATGCTTATATATGTGTATGTATAAAAATAGATAGAAAGAAATAATGTTTAAATATTAATATTGCTTGGTAAGTGCTTATCAACATGGTGAGACATAGGAACGTTGGGTGATGATGAACCGTTGTCGGGCGAGGCTCACTGTACATGTTGCTGGGGCATTTTACGAAAATATTGGCAAATATATACTTGTTTCAGGCGACATGCCGAATGTGATGTACATAATGTAAATATTTCGGCTCTTCTTTTCAGAGGAAGTATAAAACTTATCTGTATCAAACCTCGAATTCAACTACATAATAGCAGACCAATTGTTTTATCTCGTGATATTGTACACTTGATTCTCGTGTCGGTGGGTACTACAATCCGATACATGCATATACAAGTTCTATCATATGTCCATGTTGCTAAAATGTCAAGTATATACTAATTTCATTCATTCGATGTTCAATTCAAGTGGGTTCTGTCACAAAGAAACGAGGAGTATATTTCAGAGACGACTTAGATGAGTGAGTGAGTTTAGTTTTACGCCGCACTCAGCAATATTCTAGCTATATGTCGGCGGTCTGTAAATAATCGAGTCTGGACCAGACAATCCAGTGATCAACAGCATGAACATCGATCTACGCAAGTGGGAACCGATGACATGTGTCAACCAAGACAGCGAGCCTGACCGACTGATCCCGTTAGTCGCCTCTTACGACAAGCGTGGGTTACTGAAGATCAATTCTATCCCGGATCCGACTTACATTAGATATTCTATAACATACACGTTTCCTTAGAAACATATACATATATTATGTTGATCATAACTGATAATAATGTTTATGACTTCGTGTTGTGAACGATGTGGTTGTTGTAAGCGTGGTAAGTGATACCGGTTGTTGCAGTCTACACGTCATAAGATGTCCAAATGACTACTTGTATGTTTCCTATTTCCCAATAAAGATTGCTTATTGTTTGTGCTGTCGTATTGCTGGAGATTGGTGAACAATCAAACTGGATTAAACTGACGTGCACTTCACCCACTGTACCCATGCTAAGATGAGGTGAGGTGAGGTGAAATTGGGTTTTACGTCGTACTTGAGAATATTTCGCTCATATGACGACGTGCATGCGTGTGTATGTGTATGTGCGGCTGCTTGTACTAGCCCAGACTTAAGCTGGTTTTATAGTGCTAGCCCACTGAGATACAATGCCGCAGTGAAGCATGAATACCCAACTCAGACACATTATACTGACTCCGAGCCGACCAGTCCTTCTTGTACCCATTAATGCCGAGCGTCAGGCAGGGACCAACAAGTACCATATTTTAACGTCTATTGGTATGACGCGGTCGGGGATCGAATCCGCGACCTTCCGCTCTCCAGGCGGACGCTCTAACCACTCTAACCACGGAGGCGGTCACCCATGCTAAGAATGGAACCTGGTGAAAAGAACCTGTACCTAGAGGAGTACGATCGCAGAGCAGCAATGTCTACATAGTCTGTTGTTCTTCTATGTGATATCACGGGAACATTGATTAACTACTTTATGATATCCTAGTCAATAGTCACTCATATATTTTTTTTGGGAATATTGTATCCTTTCACCGACCCCGAAATTGATGCACGGGTGATAAATGTGCCCAATGTGTCAATTCTATAGGTGACACTAGTCCAACAATATCAGTGAGTGAGTGAGTTTAGTTTTACACCGTTTTTAGCAATATTCTAGCAATATCACGGCTGGGGTCACCAGAAATGGGCTTTACACGTTGTACCCATGTGGAGAATCGAACCCGGGTCTTCGGCGTGACGAGAGAACGCTTTAACCACTAGGCTACCCCACCGCCCCTCCAAATATACCAGGACGACCTGTAAATTTCAACCAAGCATCCAGCCTGACGGCCCCAACTACATAGTCTCCTACTACGAAAAGCATATTTTCATGGAGACCGATTGGACCCTGGAATACCGAAGGAACTATCATCGTGTACGTTTTTCTTGACTGTTTCCGAATGTTTGTATCTAGGCATGATGCTTTCAACAAAACCAGTTTAATGCTGGTATGTACAGAAATATTAGAATCTGCATCAACGTGCACAGCATACCGGCTTCGTTTGCTCTATAATTCCAGGCATTATCTGCGATGTATGAGAATTTCATGTTTTCATCATTTGTTTCAGAGGGTGACATGCTTGCGCTATCATGTTAGCACATGATTACTCAATGCCATTTTAGAAAGTGGTCAAATGCAACATATGTTATATATGGGATTACACTTTCTTAGTAAAGTACAAATTCTCGTACTTTTTGGATTGAGTCCCATCCGGGATTCGAACCCACACCCTCATTGTCAGGCACCAAATCCCCAGCACACAAAGTCAGCCGCCTAACCCGCTCAGTACGAGGATTTGTACTTTACTAAGAAAGTGTAATCCCAAATATAACATATGTTGCGTGTTAGCACATGCAACATAATTTGTGAAACACTTCTAAGAGAATGTGAGCATTTTGACAATACGTTATAGTTACATAGCAGGTTTTTGGGAAGAGATATTCTGTTATGAGAATAGAACATTCTTGAATCTGATTGTTCAAAGAGTTATGATAAGTGGTTGAATTCAATTTGATGCTTCACAATTCACAAGTGTCGTGCTCTGGAATCCTCCGAGGGTTGCTTCAACTGGCAATACCTATAAAAATGACGCTGGATGCTGGACCACGCGCAATGTACTTTTAGTACATTTTAATACACATTCAGCTTGGCCAACAGCAATATCCACTAATCCATCTGGGCTGATAAATGTATAGCTTTCTCAATTTATTGTTTTGTAGGGAATATAATATATCACTGTTATGAAACACGTGTGTCATATGGCCTAAGAGGAATTTTATTGGCTGGAAGGCAACCTGTAACGTTCTGGGTACTTCCTTAGACTGTTAATCAATATAACTATGACCACTTTCGGATACCTTTAAATGAAGATTTCTCGAAACAGTGCTGATTATTGAATTAATTTCATGGGATAACATACACATGACATTGCGAAAATAATCTTTTAAGTCAAGACTTCAAGGCATTGCAATGTGTAAAGCCCATTGCTGGTGTTCCCCGCCGTCATTTTGCTGGAATATTGTTAAAAGTGGCTTAAAACTATGCCCACTCCGTCACTTTAGGCATTGCAAGAGAATGCACAAACTGAGAAAAAATATTTTATAGACAATAGACCATCCCGTCTGTTTCGTCCCGGTTCTGTCATCATTATTTTCTGCACTGAAAAGGCCACAGGCCAGTAGTACAATTATACATATAGTTCAGGCAGTAGACACTTGACAAAGCACATGTTTTAGGTTGGTTGGTTTGTTGTTTAACGCCACACTCAGCAATATTCCGAACACTGATTCTAACCAGGATCTTCACGGGTCAAATATGAACAAGGTATACAAGAGGTTTAGTCTCTATTCGTCACATCCCATTTCGCATACAAAAATACTATAGGCTAATTGGGATTAGAAATTGCACCCCTACTCTTATAATGAACCTGACTCACTGGTCAGTGCCACACTACATTTTCATCGACTGTTGTTATAAGGATATGTGTTCGATTCCAACGAAAAGTGTACACAGCTAGGTATAACGTGTCCAAAGTAGAATTGCTTGCACCTTGTAATTCTTTTTACCAATGTAAAGTCAACATATTTGTCTCTTATTAAAACCAGTTGCCATCACTAATCGCTAAAAGTGACAAGTTGGTGGATCAGTGAAGTTGAAGGCTCATTTTCTTAATTGCCATCTATTTTCGCTATTAAAATTTCGTTATAAACCTCTAATTTTCCAACACAGTATGTTTATCTCCTACATGGCCATCTGCACAAGTTTACTTCCTCAATACTAATGTGATATGATGTGCATATCATTGTGATCGGGAAATGACAAATAACAGAATAAATAAATAACTGACAAATAACAGATATAAATTATTTTTGTCCTTCTACTACTTTAACTAGAAGAGTCCACGTTTAGATCATAGGGGTGCCACTAGTTTACCATTGTGTAATCAACAGTCAACAGACCATGAAATGTTGATTTAAGACTGTAGGCGAATTGGGATGTAGGCGAAATGAGAACATGCCGTACAAGGTATACCAGATGGATATGCACATGGGCAA